TCGATTAATATTATTGAAAATATTATTGTAAAATAATATTATAAATAACAACACCTTAAATTATAAAATAAATCACACATATTAACCAAAACAATAAACAAAATACAAAAACAAAATAACACATATTACAAAACATTAATAACAACAAATAAATACAAGAACCAATACAATACAAACACACAAAAACACAAAAAAAATACAAAATAATTATAAAAAAAGAAGACGCAACACACAAAAAACAATTGAAACAAATAGAAATAGAATAAAATATAGAAAACAAAAAAAGCAAAAACAACGAGAGAAACAAAAACGAAAAATGAAGAAAACAAAAGAACAAAAAAAGAAAATATATAAAGAAAAAAAGAGAGATTTAAAAAAAGACAAAGAACAAAACAAATAGAAACAAAATAGATAACGTATTAACAACATTGGGGTTTTGAGGTAAAGATAAATACCGAATTGAAATCATTGTTTAATATTATACTAAGATTATTTTTTGGGTATTTTGTATAGATATATCGATTCTCCGGTGCCCCGAAAGTAGTAACCTTTCGCTGATAATTCTATATTTTAGGATTTTTGATATGGTAAATATTCATTCCCCAATTTTTTGTTATAATATATATGTTAAATTCCAATATATATAAATACTCGATTGCATAATATTACCCTCGAAATCTATATATATATATAACATATTTACGTTATTCTATACCATATTTCTCTTTTTCAAGGTTCGTTTCTCTATCTCGGTTTTCAAATTATTATTGGAAATATGAATTTGGTTTTAATATATATATATATTTCTATAAATAAATCTATTATGTAATTATATTTATAAAATAGTATTTATATTATATATGCAATTATTATTTTTAAGAGAATTTTGTATTTTCTTATAATTTGTGCGATTTCGGGATCATATTTTTCGTATGTCGTAGAGCCGTTATGCTTGCGGCGAACGATTCTGCCCATCCCGGTCTTTTCTCTCCGCAACATAAGCTTTTGTTTCTTAGCGCATTCAGAAATTTTATTCATATTTCGGAGGATATTTTTAGATCTTCATTTAGAATTCCCATAATATAATTTAGCTAAATTTTTCCCAAATTTTAAGCCGCTTAAGAGCTATTTAACTCAAATCATAATTCAGTGGCATTTTAAACATACAATGAATTAAATGTCCATGAAATTTTGGGAATTTATTTATATCGACATTTTCCTAAATTTTTTTGATTCCCTTCTTTTCCTTCCTTCTATCCCTTTTTCTCGCTTATTTTCTTTATCTATCTTTTTCTTTCTATTTCTTTTTGTTTTTTGCGTTTGTTTCCTCCTTTTTTCTCTTTTTCTATCCTTCTTTATTTTTGGCTTTTTCTCGCTTTCTATCCTTTTATTGTGTTTCTTTCTTTTTCTCTTTCTTTTTTTCTTTCCTGCTCTCTTTTTATCTTTTTTTGTCTTTTCAGCTTTCTCTCTCTCTCTCTCTCTGTTTTTTTAGTCTTTCTGTCTTTCTGTTTTTTTGCGTTATTGTTTGTTTTTTCATTCGTTCGTTCGTTTGTTCGTTTTTCTTTTCTTTTTTTCTTGTCTTCTTTGTTTTTGTTTGTTTGTTTCTCTTTTATTTCTGATATTTGTTTCTCTAATTTTCTGTTTCTCATTTTTTATGTTTTCTTAATAGTTTTTGCGTCTTTGCTTATTTGTGGTTGCCTCTTTGTTTTCCTGTTTCTCTGTCTTTTTATGTCTTTCCTTGTTTTTTGTCTCTTTAGTTCCCGTTATTTTTGGTTGCTTGCGTGTTTTTGCATATGTTTTTGTGTTTTTTTTATTTTTATTTGTATTTCAATATTTCGTTGTTTTGCTATTTCTTTGTCTTACTACCTCGTTCTCTCTTTATTTCGATGTTCTTCTTGTCGCTTTATTTCTGTATTTCTTTATATTGGATTTTGGGTGTTTCTATTTCCTTTTTCTATATTTGTTTTTTCCTCTTTATTTCTCTGCCTTTTTGTGTCTTTTTTGTTTGTCTTTTAGATATAGTTTTGTATATATATTATTTTTATTGTTTTTATCTTTCTTTATTTAAATGTCTTGATCTATTTTCATGTTTTTTATTTATATATATTTATTACTAATTATTCGTTATTATATATTTAATATTATATATTTATATGTTTTGATTATAATCTTTTATCATTATCTATTTATTATTATTTATCCCTATTTGCCTGTATGTATCTCTCTTTATCTTTTGCTTGCCATTATTTTAATGCCACTACTTGCATGCTATTACTTACCTATTTTTGCATATTTATTTCTGCCTATTTGATTTTTTCTTTTTCTCTACCTATCTCTTCCTCTATTTAATTATTTCTGTATTTTAATTTACCTCATCATTTATCTAATTTATCTATCTTATTTGCTTTACCTTCCTTATTTGCAATATATTATATCCATTTTCAATCTATTAATATATAATTATGTATTCAATCATTATTTAAATACATTATTATAATATTATAATTATATTTTTATATTAAAATTAATTTCAACTAATATAATATCATAATAGGTTATTCCCTTTTTTTCCTTAAACATTTTTTTATTTTGTTCCTCAAACAATATATATATCCCATAAATATAAATCTATTTATTTCAACAATTAGATTTAGCATAAAACAAATATTATTTTCGAGAGAGCCCGTTAATTCCATCAACGGCAATACCAACAAAAAAGTCAAAGAGAAAAACACAGAGAGAGAAAGAGAGAGAGAGAGAGAGAGAGAAAAGAGAACAAGAAAGAAAAAAAGGGAAAGAGAAAAAACTAAGAAACAACACAAAATTAAAAGGGGAAAATACAATGAGAACAATTAAGAGAAAAATAAGAATCAAAATGAAGAAAAAATAAGAAAACAAAAAAGAGAGAGGAAAGAGAAAAGGAGAAAGAGAGAGAGAGAGAGAGAGAGACAGAGTGAGAGAAAGAGAGAGAGAGAGAGAAAGAGAGAAATAGAGAAAGAGAGAATGAAAGAGAGAAAGAGACCCATGGCAGGAGGAGTTGCTGCTGGCGGAGATGCCCGAGGTGGAGGCAATGGCTCCCCAAGGGTGTCTCCGGCCCCGGGAGAGACCAGCCGATGCCCCAACAGGACCTGGGCAAGCAATCCCTCATCCTGTGGGCGATAAAGCGGCACCAGGGAGAGAGAGAAAGAGAAAAAGAGAAAGAGAGAGAGAAAGAGAGAGAGAAAGAGAGAGAGAGAGAAAGAGAGATAGAGAGAGAGAAAAAGGGAGAGAGAGCAAGAGAGAGAGAGAGAGAGCAAAAAAGAAAGAGAGAGAAAGAAAGAGAGAGAGAGAGAGAGAGAGAAGAGAGAAGAGAGAGAGAAAAAGAGAAAGAGAGAGAGAGAAAGAGAAAGAGAGAGAAAGAGAGAGAGAAAGAGAGAGAGAAAAGAGAGAGAGAGAGAGAGAGAAAAAAAAAAGAGAAAGAGAGAGAGAAAGAGAGAGAGGGACGCAGGCAAGCAAGCGAGAACAATGGTAGAAACAAACAGAAGCAAAAAGAAAGACAGAACGAAAGGAAGAAAGCGGAGCTTGAAAGGGGGAGATGCGGCACGCGGCAACGCGGAAGTGCGCCATGTTTGTGAGCCGACCCGCAGAAACAAGCGCAGACAGACAGAAAGATAAAGACAGAGACAGATATAGACAGACATTACCAAATAGACAGGCGCGGACACGCGGAAGTAGACAGAGAGACACAAAAAGACGCAAAGAAATAGAGACGAACGACAGACACGGACACATAGAGACAAACAGAGACAAGCCGAGACAACCCGAGAGACAGAGAGACACAGACAAACAGATAGAGACAGAGAGGCGCAAACACCAAAAAGAAACAGATTGGGACACACAGAGATGCACAAAGATAGACAGAGAAAGACAAAAATTACGAAATAGACAGATGCGGACACACAGAAACAGACTGGGAGACACAGAGAGAGGCAAAGATACGGAGACACCCGGCACGAAATTTTCGAGAAATTTCGACTCGGACAGGTCCCCAAATTTCCACGAAATTTGGCCCGGTAATTTGTTCGGAAAGCCGCCAAATTCTGAAGAATTTGCGGGGGTAACGTCCGGAAACCTAAGAGCCGCATCGCCGGAAGCGACCCAAAATTCGGGAAAATTTGGCCGGGTTACGCCGCGGGAACTCTAAGCAAAGTTGTTAAGAATCCCCCGAAATTTCGGCAAAATTTCGGGGCCTTCCGGGCCGCGCGAAGAGGCGGGAGCTTGTGCCGCGGAGAGAAGACCGGGACAAGCATAGCCGCTCGCTGCAAGCACTAATTACGATTCGGCCGGAGCACCGCTGCAACGGCTTGCCGGTGCACGGGAAATGCGACCTCGAGGCCGTACCGGTTTATAGGAGAATAATATATTATGTTCCGTAATATTATCAAGGGTCCTTACATTATACACCTAAACATTGCCTCATCAATGGTGGTTTCCCTTTATTGTAGTAGAAACAAACATGTTTCAAATAGGCAAAATGTATCTTTTAAGGAGCCCTAGCATTCCATTAGGTTCCATTTCTTTCCAATATTCCGTTACTTTCCATAGCATTCCATGGCATACCATTTCTTTCCATTGCATTCCACAGCATATCAATACATTTCACTGCATGGCATTAAATCACATTGCATTGCATTCCAACGTATTCCGTGCACTACTTCATGGCATTGCATGCCATTCAATGGCATTCCATCGCGTTCCAATACATTCTATTCCATAGCATTTTATGCCGTTGCATTCCGTTGTATTCATGGCATTCCCGAAACAGCGAAATTATACACATAGGCATTCATACACGCCACCAAGCACACTAATATTACCTAACGCTTCTATATGCACCGTATCTTGGCCTGGATTTGAAGGACCAGGGTCTTAGGAAGGCAAACGGCAGACCCACTGGCCACCCTGTCTGCCTGTTTGTGAAGCCAACATGAACCCTCGCATGTAGAAAGGCTCGTCTTCTTTCTCCACAACTTGCGCCTGGGAGTTCGCGAATGGATGCCGAGCTTAATCTGTCAATGATCGCAATCGCCCCTGCAAAGGCACCCACTTGCCGTGGCCCATGCATTGCAGTCTTCTCCAAAAGCACTTTGGCTTTGCTTTGCGGCCTGGCGGCTGTTTTGGCATGCCCCAGTTGGCTCAGTTGACCTGACTCTCTGGCGACCGACATCTCCACGTCCCTCCTTCAAACGCTCAAAGGCGTGAGGAACAACTTGGCGCCATAACGACCTGCATGCCCCGCTGCCACCGCCATTGCAGCTGCCCATCTGCAGTTGGACTGAGCATCTCCGAGAACCTTGGTTACTGCCCCGCTTAAAAGTCTTCACTCGTCTTTTGGCTCATGGGAGAAACACTGCTACACAAGAAGCTAAAGGTCAAAGGCCCAACCAAGTATCCGCCAAGGAACCATTTGGACCGCCAATACATTGGAAGCAGCCACGAAAAGCGCGAGCGCAACGTCCATGGCGTCGGCCATGGCATGACTCGAAGCTGATCCCCAAATGGGCCCCACCAGCCCGAAGATCTTCCCGAAACTGGAAATGGAAACCTAGGCGGCGTTTGCCTCCCTCTTGCGCACTCAGGTCTATCATTCGATGCTGTTTTCTCTTCTGGGGCTGCTATTCATTTTCCAAAATGAGAAAAGCCAACGTTGGACCCAAACATGTATGAATTCGCCCAGCAACGGCCTCCCAAATGTTCAAATGTGCCTCCACCCGCCACTTCCGGGAAGGTCTGCAGCCTTCGAAGCTGAGGGCTGCGAAGCTCAGAGTCAGCAAATAGACGACGGTCTCCACAACTGTGGCACCCAGCACCGGCCAATCTGAGCGGCTTTGGGAGCCAGCGAAGCCGGCAACAGCTACCTAGGCGAAGCAAGCCACCAAGAATGAGAGACGTAGGAATGCCACAATGCAGAATGGACCCAACTAGAGGAAAGGCCAAGAAAGACATGGGACTCTGTCCGCAAAATGAGGAACTTTCTTTTTCAGGGTAAATGCCATGATTTAATCTCCCTTCAGAATCCTATTTGCAAGTGCTTGCCTGCAAGTCCTGATTCAATGGATGAAGCGTGATACCACCCGTTTGCTTTCTTGAGGCGTGCAAATTTGGCGCATCCTCGCTCTGATCCCTCATGGTTGCTTTCAGCCAGCCGCCTCCGGCAGACAGAACCACCGGTGGTAGGTGTCCAGCAACAAGCCCAGCAGAAGGAACCGCCAGGCCTGTGCCAACAAACTACAGCAGGCTGTCTATTCCCTACGGGAAAGGGGTGGCAAACCTTCACCGCCTATGTACAAATCTTGGCCTTTGCTTTCATCGCTTCCACTCCATCCAAGAGGGGGCCTTCTTCCCCTTTTCTTGCATCGTTCATAAAGGTGACTTCTCCCTTCTTTTTTGGACTTGCAAGCCTCCCTGCGCAGCCCGCTATCCTTGAAGCGGTTGAAGAGGAGGTGCCGGTACACCTCGGGCCGCAGCAGCTGCATGTCGATGAACACCAGCAACGCCTCAAGTCAGTGTGCTTTATCGAGGGCCAAAGGTACTGGAAATCACCGTGTGCCCGGACAGTGGACCAAACCACTGATCTTGGTAGTCTTGTCATTGTTGTGGCTGTAGCTCGTAGTGTCATCAATTTGTACTCTCTTGGCAGTTTCCAGCTGGGCTTCATTTGTACAAGGGCGACCATCAGGGATGTGTGTCTGTGATACTTACTCTTCTGGGCACGTGTTTTTTTCCTTGAGCAACTTGCTCTTTATCAAACAACAATTTCTGCAAACAATCCTGCAGGTCTCTACCTTTTGCCCACCATTATCCAAGTTAGTTGTGTTTTTGGTCTGGCCCGCTCAGCCATCAGTTTTTCACACTGAACGCCTCGAACTCGATGTAGTGATCCGCAACCTGCCCGCACAAAGTGCACTGGCTCAGGCAAATGTCCTGCCCGATCCTTGATTGCAAGCAAAGGGGTGAGCAATCCAAGGTGGTTTTCTTTCGGCCTCCACTTTTATCCCGGAAAAGTGGCCTGAAAAAAACCGAGGTGATTTATCACATTTTGCATCCGTTAAAGGTAAACCAACACTTGGAAGACCAAAAGGTCGAACGGCAATTTGGCAAGATGAGAATCCGGTAGAACAACTCCTCCACTTTGCCGCCGCAATGCACGCATCGAAAACCACCGCTCCGGGCTGCGGCTTTTGATTCCTCCGCCATGGGGCACGCAGCAGGAGGCCCACACGCACCAAATACATATAGGTGTGTCCTGATATTGGGGCAGCCGCGTTTGGACTTCGATCATAGCATGACAAAAGGAAGCTGACATAACCCGCATGTTTTGTGGGAACCATACTCTGAGCTGGGAAACGCCCGATATAGTTCTTTGCCAAACACACACGTGCATCAAACTGTTTGCAAATAAGGTTTTTGTTTGTTTGTTCCGTGTTGTGGCGTGCCATGCGCCATCTAGATGTCTTGTCCGGTCGCAGTCTGGCAAGGCCAAACTTGCAGGAGCTAAAGCAAATCCACGCACGTCCCAATATAGAGGCTTGGCAAGGATAACTGAATTGATTGTTGGTATAATATTGAATATATATATATATATACTGTATGTGCAATCCTCATGTTGGGGGTTCTCCGTCGGTCTGGTCGCCATTTCAGACTAGATCTGTAACAACTCGGCATGGATCAAAAAAATGGTTGATTGCCCTCAAAGAAAAACAGTAAAATACAAATGGCTTCTTTTGCCGGCCCTTCCTTCGAATCCCGACTTACCAAAACTTCAAAAACAAATCCAAACGCACCCAGTCACCCAGAAATTCAACCCCCAAATTCTTCTTTACCGGACCTACCCTCGAACCCGACCTACCAAAACTAAAAAAACAACTCCAATTCACCAAGAAATTCAACCCGAACCCGACCTGCCAAAACTTCAAAAACAAATCAACCAGAAATTCAACCCCCAAATTCTTCTTTACCGGACCTACCTACGCACCCGACCTACCAAAACTTCAAAAACAACTCGAAATTCACCAAGAAAGTCAACCCGAACCCGACCTGCAAAAACTTCAAAAACAAATCCAAACTCACCCAGAAATTCAACCCCCAAATTACTTCTTTACCGGACCTACCTACGCACCCGACCTACCAAAAATTCAAAAACAACTCGAAATTCACCAAGAAAGTCAACCCGAACCCGACCTGCAAAAACTTCAAAAACAAATCCAAACTCACCCAGAAATTCAACCCCCAAATTACTTCTTTACCGGACCTACCCTTGAACCCGACCTACCAACACTTAAAAAACAACTCCAAATTCACCAAGAAAGTCAACCCGAACCCGACCTACCAAAACTTCAAAAACAACTCGAAATTCACCAAGAAAGTCAACCCGAACCCGACCTGCAAAAACTTCAAAAACAAATCCAAACTCACCCAGAAATTCAACCCCCAAATTACTTCTTTACCGGACCTACCTACGCACCCGACCTACCAAAAATTCAAAAACAACTCGAAATTCACCAAGAAAGTCAACCCGAACCCGACCTGCAAAAACTTCAAAAACAAATCCAAACTCACCCAGAAATTCAACCCCCAAATTACTTCTTTACCGGACCTACCCTTGAACCCGACCTACCAACACTTAAAAAACAACTCCAAATTCACCAAGAAAGTCAACCCGAACCCGACCTACCAAAACTTCAAAAACAAATCCAAGCTCACCCAAAGATTCAATCCCGAAATTATTAATACGATGGGCGGCCCTCGTATCCGAGAGCAAAAACATCGCCGGTTGTCGGTGTAGAAGAGTGGCGCATCAGCTCTTCGCCCACCGCTTATTCCCTTTCCCCTTTCGCTTGCCCTTGTCACCCTTCCCCTTTCCTTTGTTGGAGGATCCGGATGAAGGCTCGGCGTTGCGCGGAGCCGGGCTGGTGGACCGGGTTGCCCAGACCGTTCACCCGCTTTCCTTCTCTCTGCCAAAGAGGGTCGAAATACCCTCGCGGATTGGGAACCATCCCCTCTCTGGGGGTTCGGGGTTTCGGCCGCCGCGAACTTGTTCTTCTTCTTCTTCTTTTGTGTCTCGCCACAATTCGGCGGAATTGTGGCCTCCCCGTCTGCCAATGGGATCCGGGTCTGAACGGTCAGTCCCTGGGAATTCAGCCTGTTGTAATTCTCCCATTGTGTGCGAAGAATAGGCCTGAAATGCATCCCGTGGTAGTTCATCAATAGAGAATCTTTGCTGGTTGCTTTGTCTCCCATTGCCGTGCACATCCAGTCGAACGGGATAAGTTTACCACCCTTCATTCCTTCAATGTTGGACTGAAAGAAAGAATAGGTGTCCACGTTAAGACTGGTTCCAGTAACAATGTTGAAGACTTCGAACATCTTGTTCAATGCATTGTTCCTCGCAGCACGCAATTCTGGGCTCTTGTACGTCTGAATGGCGTCATCTTTCAATACCTTGAGATCCTTCCAAAGATCATCTGTTCCAAACATATCCAGAAGGTTCGGGTAGAGTTCCAGGCAGAACAATCCCATCAAGTGGATGATGCCTTTCATCTCGACGTACTCCTTGATCGTCGTGTGGTGGTACGTATGCGGAAGATCTTCGCTTTTGAAACCATCTCGGGATTCACCCCAATGTTCCTTCCATTGTTCGAGAGTGATTGACACAGGCCGGAAAAACTGATCGGCTGGCAAGAACTTGGGAGCATGTGTGCAAGAAGTACTTCTGTTCCCTTCTGTCAAGAGACGGCAAGGTGACGTCCCGTGGGACGCTATGCGCCGAACCCTCAAGCTGTAATACCAACCACGTAGAAAGGTGTATACGGACGATGCCGTTATAGCCGAACCCGTGTAAACGTTGTAAGGGAGAAGGAATGATAGTTACAACAGTGGTCCTGACAAATGCAGCGCAAGCGAAGTGTTTTCGCTCTCAATGCCGATCACGTATGTATGCAGTCACACATCAGATCTTGAACCTCAATTGTGTCTTGAGCCAAAATGGCGATCAATGGAACTTGGGAAGCAACACCAACAAGGACCTCAGAACAGCTACCCAATTTCGGCACGGGGCCTAGAGGGTTTTAACATCCCCCATTTGGGTCGCATTGTTCATCATGCGGTCCAAACACCACAAAACGTTCCACTGGCCACGGCTTCAACTACGAAATCGTGTCGTGCATTCTTTTACTTGCTATCACTACACCGTTCATTCGCTGTGAAACATGCCGGGTTCGATTGTACGAAAAGTGAAACATTCATCCTCCAATCGAAGCACACATCCATATGCAGGTGTATATAATACACTGTGGCCACTTCACTTGACCGCCAGTGAACATTCCAGCTGCCGCATTTGCGCATCGCGCAGCTGTCATCCATAAATGGGTTGGCCGCAAAAGTCCACCAGAGGCGCCCGCTTGTAATCGGTCTGCATATTTCCGGCAAAGAAACATCGGTGAGTAATCAATGCAAATCATCGCCATCCCAGATACCATGGACAATGCATAAATAATGAAAAGATATCATCTATAAGGTAATAGTTCCATCCATGAATATCCAGAGCGTCATAGTCATCGGAATATGTAACCATGTACACATCCATTCAACTTGGATATATGAAATCATATCATAATGTAAAGTCGTTCCGTCGCAATGGTGTTGATGAGACGCAAGCAACAGATGGGGACTAACCCACATCGTGCCGCAATCAGCATCTTCACTACGCATACCGGTCCCCAATGGACAGTCTGTGAGTGCGTCGACGGAACTCCTCGTCCAAGTTCTTCTGGGCTTCTCGTGCCCGGACACACTTCTTGTTGTAGTCCTCTGGCAACCAGTGCCCTTTCCGAAGGCACCAATCCAGCAGGGGTGTGTCGCATTTGTTCGGGTCGACGGCCGAGATGATGGCGCTCACGTTGACCGTGTAACCATGTTTGCCAAGGTTCAGGCCATCCCTCACGAATGATATATACTTACAGTTGAAAGCTAGTGCAAAACATCTGAAAATAATATCACCCACCGGGTGCACTCGGTCCTTGACCAGGAGCTTCATTTCTTCCTTGGTGACATCGAGGATTCTCGCTGCAATCCACAGCTTGTAGAATGTGTATAGTCCCTCGCATTTGCACACCATCATACGAATATATTCGTCACGCTCCTCAACCGATCGGAAGGCTCTTGTCCGAACATTCTCCGACTGAGAAATCTTCGTTATTGTTGATGGCAATAGTATACCTTCCTGATCGTGCTCAGTGATGTTGGGGTACCTCTTGAAATCATTGTGGTAAGGGCAGCCCTCTCTCCCCTCGAGCTTGGCATTCATCGTTCTCTCCTCACCACCCTCGAACATCCCCCACATCTTGGACATCTGGAGTGCGATAAATCCTGCCATGTACTGAGCCTCACGCGGCTCGTCAAGGCAGATCGCCATCCGTTGGGAACTTATAATGTCCCGTGACGCCAGATCGGTGTCGCGGTAATGCCAACCGCTGTCTTCTTCTTCTGACGCATAGCCGGATGTATATCCTTGCGTGTCCATGTCGTCATCTTCTCCCGGAACTTCCTCCGCTTCGTCTTCATCCTCCTGTGCTGCCGCATCGTGGTTAGCTTCTTCCTGTGCACGCCTGGCATCTCCAGAGACGTTGGGGTTTTGGTTGTCCTCCTCGTCATCGGATTTGATGTGAATGTAATACCTTCCGATGGAGATCAGTTGTGCTTCGCATTCCAGGCATAAACAGAAGCAGGTGGGGATCGCGGTCGCACATGATGGACATATCCGGCACCTCAGTCCTTCCCATGTCTCATCATTCAGGATGACGACTTTGCTGATTTCGTCCCGGACCTCGTTGACCTGTGCGTTGAACTCTTCCATCTTGTTGTTTCGATAGAGTTCGCAGGCACGATTAACCATGTCAACGATGTAGTGCAGATTATCGGCACCTGTCTCAGTCTCCGGCATCCTCTCGCTGATCTTTGCGACGTTCTGGAGGAACATCGCAGCCGACTCTTGGGAAGAGTTGACAAAGCCAGGGCAGATCTCGTTCTCCACACACTTCGAGTACGCCCTCTTGATGTCAGCGTACTCCAGGCGCTTCCCTCCGTTGCTTTTGCCAATCCAAATGGACTTGACCTCATAGAACGGGATCACGTCAAAGACCATGAAAGTCCCGTTAGCCGCGACTCCAGCCCCATACCGCGCGAGGGTTGCACTGGGAATATAGATGATCGCAATCGGATCCCCTCTC